AAGAAACCGTATAATCTGACTGGAAGTGGGCGTGTTCTTGATGATCACGTTGACGAAGATTTTGATTCGAGTACAAGGAGTGCCAGCAGCAGATTAACTCAGGAATGGCTTCAGGAAGCGAAGCGCATTGTGGCTTCTTCTCCTTCCCGGATTGATTCACCCTCTCGACTCGTTGGCTCCCCGAGATTTGCTACTTCTCGAGCCAGGCTATCGACTTCATCTCTCGAGAAAAGAGACCCTTTCGACAGGTCTGCTAGAAGGTAAGTAATCTGGCTGCTTCAATCTGAAATAATAGCCCTAATATTTATCTCAAGGTTCTAGTTACTTAGCATTTTTTTTTTTTTTTAAGATTTCCGATCTAAATATCGATATTTAAGGAAAGATAAATAATTGAAAATTTATATGGTCATATAAATTACTAAAATCACCTAGTAACGTGCATTCAGTATTGTAAGGTCCGACTCGTCAAACAAAATGTCATAAACGAATAATACGAGTAGATCCTTGATATATCGAACATAGTCAATTGAAAGCTTTAAGTTATCAGTTTTATCCTCTTTTTCTCGTTTTCTTGTATTGTTTTCGAATTCTTGAGTGTAGGATAAAGAACGAAAAATAATCACTTTTGTTGGAAAAAAAAAAAAAAAAACAGGCATAGAGCAAGGGAAAAAAGCTTCAGTGGGGAAATCCTGTCAAAAACTGCAAGACTTTCCAGGAACAAATCTGAAACAGATAGAAACCCTTCACAGGGTGAAGAATCTCCTGCATCAGATATCCAAAAGTCGTTCTCCAACCTTCTCAAAATCCCCAGTAGTCCTACTCCAGATCCCTATCCCACTATCTCACCAGACCTCACACCCCCAAGTCCAAGTAGTCTCGTGGGCCCACCTCTACCACCGCGCCAATCAGTGCACCGAAGGTCGCGGTTCCAAAATGACCCCAATGCACCACTGTCACAGCCTATCCCAACCCCAACTAACCCTCTCTCCGTTTCCAAACGAACTTTTAAAGATACTGCAAGTACTACAAATAATGCACCAACAACAATCTTGGATAGTCCATTGCTCTCCCCACCAAAACATTTTACTGAGTCGGCCCACCGAAGGTCGAAATCTTCCACCACTTGTTCCAGACCGGAGGACGAGGTCTTGTCCCCACCCCGGAACTTGGTGGAGTCAGCTCACCGGAGATCCATATCTTCTTCAACTTGTAGCACTAACAGGATCTTGAAGAAGAGCAATGTGGATGATGGACAGTTGAAAGAAGGAGATTTGAAGGGTCAGGAACTGAACAAGTTCTTGAAAGAGCAGANGAAGAAGAGCAATGTGGATGATGGACAGTTGAAAGAAGGAGATTTGAAGGGTCAGGAACTGAACAAGTTCTTGAAAGAGCAGACGATCAAAATTGCAGAAATCATGAGTGGGGAGATAAATGGAAAGGCAAAGATTGTGCTTTCTGGACCTTCAAACAGTTAAGTTTTGTATTTCTGTTACTAATTTTCTTTTTTCTTCGTTTTGAGGGACAATTTGATAGCATGAGACATAATTCTCTCCTATATCTTGTCGAATAATCTGTACCAAATATATAGTGATTTACGTCCACTTCAATATACTAAAGTGATAGTGTGAATAATTTAGATGGAATTGTGTGATTCTAAGGGAGAGTTTCGATTTAATTTTGATTTAGGCACAAGCTCAATGGTAGCAGCCATATGTTATGCGTGGTTGTTAGAGAACAGAAAGAGGACTAATAAAAAGGGAGGAGAGGGAGATAAGAATAATTTGGAGTTTGTGGTTCCTGTGATGAATATGAGGAGACGAAAAATGTGGAAGCAGCAACAAGCGGCTTGGCTATTTCACCATGTTGGACTTGATGCCACTGCTTTGCTCTTTGCTAATGAGGTGCCTATATTTTCTTAATAGTCGTTTCTCAGATAATTAATTGTGTCTAATTTCTGTTTTTCTGTTTGTTTGTGTATGTCTATTAAGTTTTAAGGCAATAGAGTTTATCAATTATGCTTTGGAAAGAGCGTGACACAGATGAAATCAGGCAATTTGTGTACGTGACAGACTATTCTACTAAAGCGGATACTCCTCGCCATTAGCTTTTAAACTTTCGTTTGGTGGATTTTTCGCCTGTAGAGATCCTTTTAGCAATTTTTTCAAAACTTGTTTGTTTTAAGTTTACACATTAAAAGACTTAGTTCAAGATTCATTGACAACGAATCTATTGAGATAGGAGAGTTTTGTCAATCTTAACATGCTGCTATTTCTTAAAAATTGCTTTTTCTTTTTCTTTTCTTTTTCTTAATAGAAACTGATTTTTCAAAATAACTTTATCTTGCGACCATTTTAAATCCCACATTCTTCAAAAAATCCATTCACACTTTTTCACATAACTATTCCCTATGTTTTAACCGCTTATTCTGAAAAAAAGAAAAAATATATATATATAATTTTTTACAAAATCACTCCTCAAAGAATCAACTTCACACAAGGGCAAATATTCTTCATTTAACATCTCAAAATACTCTGGACTTAGTGTGAGATTATCGTCTAGTGAAATACTATCAAACACAGAACTCTATACAGTTCTACATGTATTATCTATATATTCTTAATGAATCCTTAACAATTTCTTAAGTTATAATGCGATAAGGCTGTGAGTGGTTGTGATTGCTTCTTTGCACTATGTAGAGCCTAATCATACTGTACAGTATTCCTACTACATATTTAGAGAGCTAATTTGATGCGCATGAGAAAAATTTTACTTTCTTATCCATTATAGTACATACTACCTATCATTAAAGGTGTAACACTATAAATGTATATGGCGCATAGTGTGTTTCTGATTCATTTGACTGATTAATGCTCTCGTATAAGCAGATTAGGGCTTAACCGTAACTCTAGCTCTAAGTAGGAATACAGCTATAAAATTGACTGAGTGGAAGCTTTTGAAGTTAGATTCAATTCGCAGAAATATCGTATGCAGATAATACAGGATCGCCTAATTACATTGATTTTGTTATTTTAAATTCCCTTTTTTGTCTGGAAAATTTGCTGGAAATTGTTCTTGATAATCTTGGTGCTATTTTCAATCAGGTTGACATGGAAACAATGATCATGGAAAAGCAGTTGAGCATGCTTGTTGTTGGAGAGGATATCCTCCGAACCAATGGCGAGGTTGATTAACTTATTTTGGTCAATTGGCAGCAAATATATACATGGATTTCCATTTTCAAGATTATTTAAAAGCATGAAACTAATCTAAGATCAAATTATGATTTTGCAATTGCTCTAGGTTGGATCGGGATGCACTATTGTGACGGACAACTATTGTGAGGACGCATATGACCTACTTCAAACCCCTATCGTGAAAAAACTTCTGGTAGAATGAAATAAAATTTATCGACTTTCTAGTGCTATACACAATTTATATTATCTTTTTGCTCGTCTTGAAATTGAAAGAGAAAATGAATGATGGAATCCGCTCTGCCATTGGAACTCATTAATATCTTCTTATCAGCTTGCAGGTATTCTATTAGACACACAAAATTTAAATATTTCTACCAAGTTATCTATGAATAGGGATGCAGAGGCAGTTCAGCTTCTCTCAGTTGGCGCAGCTCCTAATTATAGGAATGCTCTTTATGATCAATGTATGTTTTCGTCTTCTGATAACTATGAGAATTCCCTTAAAAATTCGTAAACTCTATAGTGAGAATCCCCCTTTTTTAATATTTTCCAATATTCTGATTTTTCATTTCAGTGATGCAAGATCGAAAAGATAACGCTTTCTTTGAAGTTCTGCGCCACAGTTATGGGAAGCCTTCTGGTGAAAGTAAGCTGAAATTGTGCTAAGAAAGAAAGACTCTTTATTTTCAACAGCGTTCCTGAAATTTGTTTACATGATATCATCTGTAACATAATATGTGGTACATGGGTAGGTAATGTCTACATCCAAGATGTTTGGCTTTTACGCTGAACGTGCATTAGACTGGTTCTTCGATGTGGACAATAAATTATACTCTGAATACATGTTTGATAAGTAGTGCTCGACTTGATGGTCGTAGCTTCTTTCTCTTTTTCTTTAAGGTGTTGAGTAGCCTCCAACTTTATTGAATATGTCTCAAGTACTTGACACATACAATATACAGGTAATCGGGATAGTGGAGCAATAGAGCAGAGGATTTCTGAGAAATACCCTTTCAGTGCAGGAATTGCACCAAATGAAGGAAAAAATCGAAATAACACGAAAGATGAAACAAATCAGAAGGTGTCACCAGTTATAGGTAATATAATGCATATTAACTGCTTGCAATCTTATATGTATATCCAGTAATTTCGGATCAGAATCTATGCTAGTTAAAGTTATCTCGTGTTTTAATTGTAATATGCTGTAATACAAAGAACGGTTTCTTTTTTCTTCTTTTAATTCTTTACATCAACACATACAGTGTCTCCCATGAAGATGCCCGTGCAGGCTCCTGCAAAGACACCAGCAAAAGCAGCCAATGCCTCTCAGGGGAAGAATAAGTCTTTTTTCGCAAAATTGTTTGGATTTGGATCAAAACAGTGACAAAAGTATGGATATGTGCTGCGAGTTAAAGATTTTGATGCGGTATGTAAAACTGGTAAGAAATGTTACTGGAACTTCATAGAGGCTCCAAGGCACAAGATGTTTAGAAATCAACCCATGTTTTTAGGGGAGTTATTTATGCTTTATATATTTATTATTTTGTACGAAACAATTATTTTGAGACGAATTGTCTGCTTGTAATAAACTGCAACAAATCAATTACTAATAATTTTGTTATCCCTATTTATCTAATTGTTAGTGCAAAATATTAGAAAGTATATCCATAACTACTGTTGCTGCCACTGCTACTGATATTTAGAAGTTGAGGAAATTTCACAAAATGTCCAATTTTACGTAATCATTTGTAAAAATGTCCACCATTGCAAAAATGTCTAATTTGGAAGAATTTAGACCAAAATACCCTTATTAATAATTTATAATTCAACACTAAGACAAAAAAAATGGACATTTTTGTAATATTATTATTGACCAATAAAATTTTGACACATAACCTGCTATATTTATTTCAAAAGGTATAGATGTCAAATCACAATGAGAAAATTACTTAGAAACCTACCTTTAAACAATAGTTTTCAGAAATAAAGGGAATTAATTTTCATTTCATAAATTAGGTGGTAATCAAAAATTATTAAATTAATTAATACATAGTTAATAATAGAAAATGTTTTATATCTTCCTCCAACCAAAACCACCCACCACTCAAATTAAACTTTTTCTCTCTCTTCTTCCTCTCCAGTGTCTTCCAGGATTGATAAAAATGGAAGATTTCTAAATTACAATTCTCAGAAATTTCAAAGTCAGGCGCCATTGATGGGACCCATCACAACAAATCTACACCTATAACTTCACTACCCCCATTCTGCGACTATTGCAGCCATGGGTTTCTATCAATTAAACCAAAATTTTGATTCGATTGTGTGCGCCTGTTCTTCTAATTTTGATTTAATTGGTTGGTGTTTTTTGAAGGTGTTGGTGGAAGTTATGGTAGTGATGATTGTTGTTGTGGATTTGAGTTAAAGATGTTAGTATTGGTGGTGGTAATTATTTTTTCGAGCAGATCTGCTGTTGGAGATCTGGTTTTTTCTGTTCGAGAATTGGTTGTGACTATTTGTGACCTATTTTGTGTTAATTGTGATCGGTTGTGACTTGAGATTGATCTGGTCATGGACAGTCACATTGAATACAAATTTGGTCACAGACCCCGTATCAATTTACCCCAGATCTTGTATCAATTTTTAACCCACACACTTTATTTCTTCCCCCAAAAATTAGGTCGGCACTCTCTTACCCAAAAATCAGATCTAGGACTTCTTTCCCACCCATCTTCTAGATTCCGACCACTTACCACTTCTCTCACTGGAGTTTCGCAATAGAAGTGTGGTGGTGTTGGTTGGTGTTTTTGAAGGACTGTTGGAAGTTATGGTACTGATGATTGTTGTGGATTTGAGGTGAATATAGTGTTTATGGTCATCAATTTGAGTTAAAGATGTTAGTAGTAGTGGTGGTGGTTATTATTTTTCCGAACAGATCTGCTGTGGTGGTTAGAGAGTTGGTTTTTTCTGTTCGAAATCTGATTGTGACTATTTGTGACCAATTTTGTATTGATTGTGACCGGGTGTGACTTGAGATTGATTTGGTTACATAAAGTCACAATGAATACAAATTTGGCCACAATTAGTTACATCGAAGACAAAGTTGGTCACGGTGATTCTCAGATAACAAAAGTCGGTGAATTGGTCACATATAACACAGGTACGGTCACAGATAACATGTGAAATTTCAAACTTTATTTCTTAATATTGAAATTAATCATATGCATATTCATTCCACTTAATTAGGTCACAGATTCAATAAAACTAGTCACAGATGTAATGGAACTGGTAACAAGTCATTGCTAAAAAAGAAGAAAAAATGTTGTCGGAAAAGTGATGGATGATCGGAATATTCGTCGAATGGTTGTCGGAGCATCGTCGGGAGGTCGTCGGAATGTCATTGGAATAGTTGCCGAAATTGTTGTCGGAGCCGTCTCCAGAGGTGGGGTGGGATGGGGTGGAGAAAGAGTAAAAGGATTTGATGTGATGGGTGGGTGGGGTTGGAGGTGAGGTGGGGTGGATAAGTAAATTAATTGTACTATATTATAATTAATATTTAATAAATTTAATTATCAACTGATTTTTGAAAGATTTTTAGAAATTTGTTAATTTTGAAATGTGATTTTTAAATGGAGGATTTACGTGGTGTTCCCAATCAAAATAAATGCTATGTTTTTCTGATTCAGAAATGTCGAGAACGACATTTTTAAATGTAGAGAAATGTCACGTTCAAAATGAAATGTTATTTTATACAAATGAAACGGTGTTCAAATTCGAGAAACATTATTTTCATGTAACTTCTCATGAAAGTTATTTCTCAAAATTCGTGATAAATTGATATAAAAATCAAATGTCGAGAATACCATTTCAAAATGTAGCTTAAAAAAAAAAAAAAAAAAAAAGTTAGACCAACTATCCCATCCCATTTAACCCTCTTTCACCAACCCAGCAGAATGCTAACCACTAATGCCTGACCCCCTTTCACCAACCCAACACCTATTCTCCCAACCCACAAACCCGCCGATTGGAGAAAGAAACCCCAAGAGTTCGCCACCGGCTAAGTTGTCATCTCCGGAAAATTCGTTCTACTAAATAACGAAGAAGCTCAAGTTTTTCAAGAAACCCTTATCTCCTACCCATTTTGTCGTGGTCGTAACTCTCCGGCTGCCATTGTTCAACCGTTCCAGCAAAAGGGGACGTCTTCAAATCTTATCTCTTACCCATTCTCTGCACATTTGTTGAACGGTTAGCGTTTTCAGTTTTTTATAGTCGTAATGTTTTTCGAATTATGGGATTTTGCTGAATAAGTCTTCGGTCCTTTTTGCCGCCAACAGGCAGACATAAACATTTGAGATGTTAATAGCAGTACCGAGGAGCTTTGTAAGTTAAGCTATTGTATGGACAGTAAGATGTTGTGACAAAAATCTGGATCTAAACAGGCGGGAGGTTGGCACGAAAGTGATAATGAAGTTTTGGTTCAGCTGGTTCAATAAGTAGTAATGTCTTACTGAAGAACCGGGTTATTGGTTTTGTTTATCAAGCTGAATGAGGAACAATTTTTTTTAATTTGTTAAATGCAGATGTGCATTTAGAAATATCGAGTTTTGAAATTTTAATAGCGGATTGAGGTGTTAAATAATTATGATATGATTCCTGTGGATTTATTTACCAGAGGGTAAATTTAACTTCGGCTTCATAATTTTTCTGTGGTAATTTCTTTTCCATTCAATTATCCTTTCTCATACTGTACTCCAGTTTTGAATGAAATAAAACAGCAATGTTTCATGCTGCAGTCATTGGGTTTTTGAATTTGATTGAATTTTGGTGGTATAAGCTGCTCAATTCTATTTGCCATGTAGGGATGAGAGGGAGGAATTTTGGTGTTTGTCACAGTTGTAGAAGCTCCGATCACTACTTCGAAGATTGCAAGAGAAAAGTTCCTTGTCCACGGTGTGTAGTCTGAATTCGAAAATGTTTTGAGGTTGAAAAGGAAGGCAATAACAAAGGCCGACTTTTTAGAACTTGCAGCAGCTCTTGTGGATTTTTTGACAAGGTAACAAAGGAAGAATTGAGTGTAGAGTCGAGTGCCGTTAATGAAGTGATGAATCCTACTACCAATGAGGATGTGATAAGAGTGTAAAATATCATATTTTTCCCTCTTAACTATTGCATTCATGTGATTATATTATACCAAAATGCACTCATTACTCTTATATTTTGGTTTAGGTTGCATTTTGGTGAAAAGGATGAAATTCGGAAGAAACAAGTGAAAAATGACCAAAGTAGAAGAGAACGAAAGTTCGGGGACTAAAGTGCAAATGATCCAAACTTGTGTCTAAGATTATGATGAAGATTCGAAAGTGTTAGAGGTCAAGTGGATGAGGAAAGAAGTCAAAGGGATGAAATAACGTCAAAGTTTGATCAATACATCAATTTCCAATCGAAAACTAACACACCAGTTTTTAGTCTCATGTTGGGACCCATTTTTGACATGAAATATGATCGAATTGGGAGATGACTTCTGAATAAAAATTGTGACCCTTTGAGTTAGCTATCCAATGCAACTTGAATCACCTCAATTGGATATCAGGAAAGAAAGTTATGATTAAAACATTGAAAGCTATCTGGCGGCACCATGCGGTCGCAAACACCTATACTGAGAATTGAAGAGGCTGAAAGTGTATAACCATGCGACCGCAATGACAATAACCATGCGGTCGCATAGTGTTTTTTTTTGGGGGGCCGAATCTCAGTTTCCTTATACGATTGAATCTCTTATGGTAACCTAATTTTTACGGGATATAAATGCCCAAAACCACCCAGAACGAAGTCAGACGCCCCCAGACCTATTTCTTTCATCTTGGTGCTCAAGAAACTCCATGAAAAAAAAAGGAACTTGGTGAAGCAACGAATGATCTCAATCAGTTTTGGTGATTTCGACATCTTTAATTCATGTAATTGAGTTTTTCATTATTAAACAATTTTAGAATCGAATTTCCATATCTTGAATATGTTTTTTATATTAGTTTAACAATTATTAGAATTTCCATAGATTCAGTCATGCTTTCTCTATCGAATATTCGAAATACTTGTTGAATTACAATTTGAATTATTTATTGTTGAGATTATTTTAACTTTTATCAAATCCTTCATAGATCTAGCCATGTTCCTTCTATCGAATGATTGAAATAATTGTTGAATTTTAATCTTAATATTACTTTATTGGTGAATTGATTACCGCCTTATGCTTGATGTATATGGTCGATCTTTGATCTTATTCCAATAAAAAAAGTGTGCGAATGTGTTACAGAAAATCTAGATTCTAGCAATATAATTGAAATTAAATTGGACTTTATTGTTAAATCTTCCGATTAGAGAGTTGGGAAGAAAATCTCTAATTGAGGAAAAATACATGAATTATTGAAGTCGATTGATCCAATCCAATGGGGAAATTCCGACGCTTCACTTATGTCGCATATTGATAATTAATTTTTATTCCAAGTGACAAATCATTCCCACATAAAATTACGAAAACCCTAGTTTGTTTGATTTTTTGAAAAAATTTCCATCTCCCTGTGGATACGACACCCCA